ACATTCAGCAGGCATCGATGAGGTGGTCAAACTCTCCACATTTTCGAGATTTTCTCACACAATTATGGTAATGTAGTCAATAAGCACCGCGACTGATTCCAGCATCCATGCAAACGAGTAATTCCTGTGCTTAAAATCACAAGTGTGTGCATCTCGCCATGTGCATACTTGACAAATGAAGAGCACGTTAGCTTAATCATCTGCCCCTCTTCTTCTTCTACCAAAGATCCTTTAGTTTCGTTCGTAGCTCCTGGTGATCTCCCATCGATTAGAAGGAGGCGTAAGTGGTGCTGAATGCGTGTAAGGATCAGACAAATTTTAAACTAACCGTCAAACATCAGACGAACACATAAGCAAAGCGCCGCATCTTCGTCCTACATTTGTAGAACTGGCGTGCCTACCCCCAGGGTCCTAAACTTCGAACTTTAGGAGAGAATTAGTTGTGGAAGCTATATTTAGCATTGTATATAGAAAGGAAGGGAATGGAGAAAAACATGTGGGAGGGAAAGCAAATGTTAGCCTGGAAAAGAATCCTTGCACCCCCACCCATCCTCTATAAAGGCAAGATTTAAGCACACTGCTACCTATTACGGGACGCTATGCATGTAGAGCGTGAGGACTACTCCTTTTGATGTTGTAGACATTTTTTTCTTCCCGCCCCACCGTTTATCATTTGTTCTTGTTACATTTAAAATACCAAATAAGGCCACACAAAGAAGACCTTCGTCTGTTTAACCCTCTAGGAAGGGTGCAAATGATAAGGAATGCATAATTATTGACTAAATTTTTAATTATAAGGGATGTATTGCTTTGATTATGTGTCTACCTGACGTTTGGCGGTCACATTAGGATTTGTACTCGTGAGCTGGTCTTCGAGACACGCCATGGAATACATGTATCTAGCCCCAATTACTGCCTTCTTGTACCCTATGGAAAGTCTCAGGACGCTACAGAGGAGACGTGGTAAGTCAATAGTAGTTCGGACAGTGTTGCCGTGGCCAGCGTACATGCGCCACTAACTGTACTCAGCCACCTGTTTAACCTGCGCCTAATCAGTACAAATCGCTACTTATGCGCACTGGGATGAAGGGCCTGAAAAGCAGGGTTGATGACTTTATACTTTTAAAAAGAATGGCGAAAAATGACCTTTGTTCTTGTGTGAGACTGGGGTTGCGCAGACAATGAATCTAGTTTTCCAGTAAAATTTAATTGATAACCCCAAGTCCGCATCAATAGAAATCTCCAAGTGACCAATCCTTAATTGACTGGGAAGAAAGGGTTAGCGCGGGTGGAGCTCCGATTTTTTCAATCCTGGGAGAGGATATGTGAACGGGAAACTTTGACCTTCTTGTTGTATGGATTGGGTTGGAAATAAGCAAGTTCTTTTTGACACCTTCCAATTCTCAGGTAAAAGAATGCGAAATCGTGCGTAATGAGACTTGAATGCTGAATGCAACTCAGTTAATGCATTAGCTATTTAAATATTGCTCTAGCTATTTCAATGCCTAATTATTTTAAACACATCCCTTTTAGACGTTAGATAACTTTTTTAATGTTTTTTGTCTTACGTCCTAAAGATTTGGGAAGCAGTGGATTTATAAGTAAAATAGTTCTTTATCCAAGGGCGGATTCGTAGCCTAAAGTTTCACTTCACCCTAATTGTTGGAAATACCTTTGAAGTGCAAGGGCGGAGCAATGGGGGCGGGTGTGTCTGCTTCTTCCGCTGTCGACGAATCATCCTTAGTTAGCACGGGACTTATCAGTACATGTTCACTGTTTTCAGTCAGATCATGCATCTGTACGCTTGCATCCTTCAAGGGAAAGACAATTATCCAATATCTGAAAGGAAAACATATCGATTTGCCTGACAAACTGACTGTTAGTGCAACTTTTAAAGCTATTATAAACACTGAATTTACGTACGACAAGCTTGTAGATCGCATTCTACAAGGTATAAAACTTTGCTTTATCTACTGCTTGCATTTAAGTTAAGCATTTAAGTCATCCTTCCATCATTCGTGTATTTTCATTCACTTCAACTCCAAGACTTTCCTGCCTTTTCCTCGTCTCAGAACCGAACTTACCGCTTCAAGCCTTAATGGTTGGTCTCACCAGAGATGATTTTTTAACGGGTCTGCATTCAATCTTGCATGCCATTGACTTCCTGCATACTCGGGTAAGTCATGGAGTACTACTTCCATCATTTTTCTGCAGGCTTCTATTTCGCACAACAATATCGATGTTTCAAGCATATTTGTTGATTCCAAAAAGAAGTGGAAACTTGGTTTGTTTGAGTTTTCGTGCATGCTTGATGAACTTTCGCAAAATCGTCTGGAAGTGCTGGAAATCCTGAAGAATCGTCCTGAAGATAGAAAGGTAGGGTAGTGTTCTTACTTTTCACCCCGTTTAGGCTGTTGAGGTATCAGAATCCGCAGGTCATGCTTACGATGTATATTGCTTCAGTCGCATGGTGGTCGAACTTATACCTAAATTACGTAAGTTTGATTTCCTAGTTAACTGATTAGATTTTGAAATAAGTGACTTCCAGACAGTTTTGCAAAGGTCGGGTCTCCACCCATCTCCAAAGCAGCGCCCAACTGCTGCACACTTATTAAAGCATTCCGTCTTTAAAAGTCCATTTGCATACATTGTATCGTTCCTTTCGGACTATGTACTAAAATCGGATACTGAGCGCTTTCGCTTCATCAAGTGAGCGAAAATGAACGTCATAAATGTTGCTTTTTTGTCATGCTGAATAGTTTTACTTGATTTTAGTGAGTTTCCAAATTTGGCTCAACAAATTTCAGAGGAGGTTCTATGCTCATCAATCATTCCCCTTATTTTGGCGCCGTCAGTTTTCACGGATTTTCCAGCGAAATCGTTGGTTCGCCACTTGCTTACGCCTCGGAAAGGTATGTAGAAGACATCTGGATTAACGCAACTAATTTAGACAACGAAGTCGGCTTGGTATCTGAGGCCGCATTCTCTCGGCTAGTTGTTCCTTACATCTCTCGCCTCTTCCGCCATCACGAGCTCACTACCCGCCTCCTGCTTTTGCAGCATTTTAAAGCCTACGCCCGGCTTATGGGCCATGAGACCCTCAAGGCGATTGTTCTACCCGAGGTAAATTTCTATGTCCACGTTTGCTGATACGTCATTTTCCCTTCCTCTTAATATCACAGGTCTGTATGGGTGTTTATGATGTAAATGAGCACCTAGCAGTGGCCAGCCTGTCTTGCTTGGCCCATTTGGCTCAACTCCTCGGAGTCACATGCACAATGGGTCACTTCCAGAGCCTTGGAAGTCAAATGGACAGTCGTGGGTTTCTCACCACCTCACCAGATCCTGACAGCCCTCCAGCCTACTACAACTTGATGGTAGCACCGACAAAGAGGCCGATTACCTATAACATCGCTAAGCGGCCTTGGCGTCGTACTCAAGTCACCTTGTATCCTGATTCTGCACCCAAGGCCAATCGGCAGGCACGGGCAGCATCCACAGAAACGCGCAATGACACCGGACGCCGGCTTTGCGACATGGCAGTTCTTTCTGCAAAATATGTGCCCGCTACAGCGTCGATCAAAAAACCCGGAGACATCTGTCCTCCGGCTGCTAAAAGGCAGGTTTTGACCCATTATCCGACTGTTTAATGCTGGTACTTGCTTCATTATTTTTACTTGGACAGCAAGGCGATAGAATCTGTTAGCCAGGGCCTTGTTGGCTTCAAAATTTAAGTGTTTTACTTTGAGGAATCTCTCTGTACTGTATTCTAGGCAATTACTTACTATTTTACGTCATTGAGTTCATTTGTCTGCACCTAGGCTTGGTGACAATAAAGGTCTTGGTTTTGCCAAGGTTAAACATTAGCCCTTCCTTAGGCCTTGAACTGAAAGGTGTCTCAAGTGCTTTTGCTCAAACAAGGTAGGATGTGGTTCGCAAACACTAACCGTAAATCGTATTCCCACACTTTTTTTCTCAGTTACTCCCTTCTTTCTTGTTTTTACCTTTTCAGGCTTTCATCAAATAAGTCACTTCAGAATCCAGGTAATTTTTTTGCTAAGGATTATTATGTAGTGTACTTTTAATAAATATATCTCTCCGACAGCTTCAGCTATGGTCCTTGAAATGACTTATTTATTTAAATATTATTTCCCAACACTTAGCTAATTTTAGGTCCCTTCACGAACATGTGGACGTCAGTGAGTGCAAATGCAACGAATTCAGCAGTCAACGCTGTTTCAAATGGGTCAGGATCCTCATCTCCCACTGTACCGCGGGTAAAGGGTCTCACTGTCAAGGTTAGACACCTTTGGCTTCTATTAACTTTGTTTTCTTAGACGTGGCTTTTGTT